CAGGCAGGCAGGCAGGCTGTTTTTAGTTTCTTGCTAGCAAACAGTTGTGCTAATATCAGGAACTGTAAAAGTTTTGCAAACTTCTTTAATAATAGCTCAAAAAGATTGAAAAATTTAACAAAAAAAATAGCAGGACTTTCAGATAATGTGTATCTCAATAAATCAAAAGCTACTAAAACATACACTCAGGGCAGGAAATTAAACTATCCTTGGTAAAAAGTCAAAAGGTTCTGAGGAGGAAAAATGTATTTTGTCATCAAGAAAAAATCCCCCTACAGCACCCTTCCCATGTAGAGGGGAAAGGTGCCAGACATCCAGCTAAGTCACATTTAATTTGGAAGATTCTGGAATGAGATGATAGCTTAAGTATTTTTTAGTCAATATAAGTATTCTTAGTGAAAAAGAACCTTGGTAACAGAGAGATTTTCCAGTATTTTACATATTAAATGTTACCTACTTTGAGACTACACACCTCAATGATCTTCAAAGCATTTTTCCTTGGAACAAAACCTTCCTCAAAAGGTCAAATTCTGTTAATACCATAATATAGTCACAAGAAACTATTTTATGCTCTTTTTAAGTTAATCTCCTGGGCTCTCTATTTGACAACCTCTGCAACATTTCCTTGATCATGTCCCTAAGGCATACTGCCAAAAGAAGACTTTCTGACCATTACTCATATAAACTCCAAGGCAGATTTCTGTATTACATTATATATAAGATTATCCTTGACAGATCTTCTGCAACTTCAGCTAATATAAAAGAAGCTAGCCCAATGAGGGTATTCTCAATCACCTATATTTTACTTTTGGCTATCTACCCACATGCCAGGCTGGTGAGCACAATTCCAATAACTCACCAGGCTGCCTCTGGAGCATAATATTGTCAATACAGCAGAGATTTAAAATTTGGGAATGGGAAACACCTATGAAGTTAGCTCTCAAAGTTAATCCTAATTCTTTGCAAATACAATACCTCTCAGTGGTTCTTGAAAACAAATACAAGTATCCTGCCCTTATTCTGAATCTATATACTTTTAACACACACATTTATTTATTTATTAAACATATTTCTACGTTGCCATAATAAAAAGGACTCTTGGTGATTTACATAGAACAAATACAGATTAAAACATCCATGGTAAGAATAAAACAGCTGCAAAAATAATATAAAAATAAAAACCCATACAATATAAAATACAAATAAGAAAAATGAAAATGGCAACATTCACATAAGAGGAAGCATTTTGAAACAGTTTGGTCTTCAAGAACTACTGAAAGACTAATAAACATATACACACAAACATATATATTTGATAAATTCTTTTAGGTGTTTATTTTATATTCTATTAAATCATCTATAATTACTTGAATATGGTAGTGTATATATCCTGTAATAAAATGAATTGATCAATTAATTAAAAAAATGAACCTATAATAAACTCTCTGAAGCTTCCACAGCTGAGCTGCGTATATTGTTAGGCCTTTCTATTTTATTTATTTGAACATTTATTAGAAAAGTTTCACATTTGCAAAAGTTAATAGTGCTGTATGAAAAATCATGTTAGAATGTCAGTGGTTTCCAAAATGCAAAATAATTCATGAAATTATAAAATAGGAAACCAAACTAACGTGCATTCAGGCAATAATACTTACAAGGACTGTAATCCACTGAGTCCTCTGATGGCCTCATTAGGAATAGTTTTCAGCTGATTGTTCTGCAAAGTGCTAGAAAGACAGACAGACAGACAGAAGTAAATTGATGTCCACAGAGTTAGCACAATTTGTTCCTGCTATATCTTTTATGTATGCCTCTTCCCACATTCTGGAATTCTGAATTAAATGTCTCAGAGTAATATAACTTGAAGCCTGTGTCTCTTAAAAAAAACTTTACTACCCTTGTTATAGCTGTTTTTCTCTTATTCTAATAAAAAACAAAGAAACAACACCAAAGAAAACACTTTGAGAAGCAATCCTTCATGGACTAGTTGTTTTTTCTTTATCCCAAAACATTTTATCTAATGCTTAAGCAGAGGGTCTTAGGCACAAATGGGATATTTGTTCACTTGGATAGAATTCTGGCCTAATTTGTAGATATATCTTGCAAGAAATCTCTGCAAGAAACATTTTGTAAATAGAAAGCACCTATAGAACAAAGTTGATTTTCAGCTCTCCATCAGCATGGCAGGAAATAACTCTTAGTAGCTCACCCCAAGCCATTGTATCTAAACACTCTTACAGGGTTTTGTTTTGTTTTTTTGTATATAGTAGACAATAAATAAAAAAGTAAAGAAAGCAAAGTTGTTCCATGCAGTCTTAATTCAAGCTGAAACCATGGTGTTCTTTACATCCACCCTTAAAGAAAAAAGAGGTACAAATGTACATTTTTCTTTCCCTCAGCAACTGAAAGGTTAATGTTCCATCTGAATTATGAGAAAAATAGAAGTTTTTTTTTCTTCTCATTATTGGCTCTATAATGTAATGGAAAGTAGAACAAAAACATACCGTTCTGCTCATTCTATCAGTGAACACGCTGACTGGACAAGAAAGAAGAATTATACTATGAAGTGCTGAAATGTGATTACTTACAGAACTTTGAGTTCCTTCAACCCAGACAATGCGTTTGGATGAATAAAAGCAAGGTCATTGCCAGCCACCCGTCTGGAAAAGATCGCAACAATAATAGATACATCATATTTATATTTGTCTGATAGATAAATCATCAGTGCACCAAAACTTTTAAGTAATTGACATGTTTTGAATTAAGTTATATAGCATTTATACTTCATGTTTACTAACACTCAAATCATATGATTTTAAGAACTCAAAATGGACAGGATTTTTACAATTAACATTTGCATGTACAGGAACTTTTCAACCACAAGCGTCAAGCCACAGTCACCACCTTTTGTGCTATTCTGCCTCTAGATATGGTAGCCTACAGCTCGTTTTTAGTTCATAAAATCTTAAAAGTTATGAAAATTTATCCAGATACTGCATTATGCAAATTGGACTGTCGACATATTTAGGAATGCATGTGTGTAACAGGCCAGTGTTTTCAGACAATACATAGTATATTGTATGTATGAACCACAATGAGTCTTAGGTACACATAAGCCTCCCCATCTCCTATTTTTTACATCAGAAGTGAAAATATACAGATGGTCCTCTACTTACAAACAGGTTACTTTCCAAGAGGCTGTCCATAAGTCCAACCAAGTATAAAAAACATGCTTCCCAACATGCGATGGTGTTGCCAAGCATATGTATGCGGCACACCATAAACTAACCCTTTCCCATCTTCTCCCACCTTCCAGGACCTTCTAGATTGGAACTGCAGGCAGGTTTGTTCATATCGGCAAAAGTTCGTAACTCAAAAGTTCATAAGTAGAGGACTGTTTGTACACATCTTTTTCAAATTAATCACAGAACCATGATGTTCAAATGTAAGGTAGGTGTGGTTTTTTAAAACAGGCTTTTTAAACAAGCTAGGATTTGAAATCATGGCTTGAATTATATACTACTGATATTGAAAACAAATATCTATGGATATAGTAGACTCCCTTTTGCTAGATGTATTTCAGGCACAGGCTAGCGACATTTGCTGAGGATCTTTCAATTACCATTTAATATGCATTCTTGCATGGACAAATTATTGGATTTATTGTTCAAGTGGCCCTTTTCAATATTATAATGTTATGCTCGTGATTATGTAATAAGAAGCTATGATGGCCTGTTAAATCAGAAGTTAGCATATGATTAATAAGAGTAATGTAAAAATTCAAAAGAGATTCTTTGCAAAGCATGTTACCACCAGTGTCTCTCTCCTCCTCAAAGCAGCTGTGTTCAATAGAAGGCCTGAACAGCTGCTTCAAAAGCTTCCATACACACATATGTACAGAGCCACTTTGTCTCCAAATACTTTGAAATCAATCTTGTTGCTGAATGGTTCAATTTCTACCAACTGCTAATGCTAATGGCATTATATATTTTATTTGAGCAAAAGGGTTTTTTTAAGTGCTGAACATCTGGTAATCCCTAACTACCAATTTGAATAAAAGATAATTTTCAGTCATATTGGTTGTTTTGCTTGCTCTCATGCCTCAGCTAAGACTATTGATGCCTGTACAGATTACAGGATGCAACTGAAGGAACATAAAATTGAACTGATTTATTCATTGAGAAATAGCAAAGAAAAAAATGCATTTCAGCTTTAGACACATATGAGTAATTTATCAGTAAGCTACAAACTTATCTTCCCAAAGGACAGAACTGTGGGTAATGGTATGGAAATAAGTAAGGGAAGCTTACAAATTCACACACAACCCACAAACTCCCTCACAATGATTTTATATTGCATTGTCATCAACATCACGTTTCCTGATTCAAAGCAAAACACAGTAAATACATTGAAAAAGATGTAAGTTGTTTTATACTTAGCATATATGGAAAAACGACTTAGCTGTTAGAACCAAAAACGTTTTGAGAAAGCTAGCTAAGTTTGATTACTAAAGCTAGCTAAGATTGAGTACTAATAAATCACTTATAAAAAAGTCTGTATTCTTTTCAATTAATAATATAATGGTATCCTCTTCAGCTTTAAGTCCATACTTTTATCATGAGTATTTTCTCATTGGTTTAATATTATTCAGCTAATAGAAATATCTAGCTATCATTCTATCTATCTATCTATCTATCTATCTATCTATCTATCTATCTATCTGAGCAAAAACTGAATCTTATGAGATATTAGGCATACAGAGATAGCCATATGTCTACAATAGTGATCTAAAGATGTTTTCTTCCAAGAAAGTTTAGCCTTATAAAAAGGCTATAGAAACAAATGTATCAGGCAAAGAGCCATGTGTACTAGTCTCTTCCCCAGTATCACCTTTAAAATCCCCAATTCTGTGTGTTGAGCAAGCTATCCTATCTTTCATGACCAGGAACCATGACGAACATGACTGCTGACCAGTCAAGTTTACCGCTGGACACACTGCTGAACACAGGGAATTCAAATGGAACTCTGTACAATCTTATCCCTCATATGCATATTAAACTCTTATATTCTATTCAGCATAAGAACAGAATAGGACAAAATGTTAGACATGAATGGGGGTGAATTAGGAACTTATCTCTGCTTCTCAGAAAGCTTAGCAGTCAATTTTAGACAGATATCTCTCTACCGAACTTCTTCTGCAAGACTATTGTGAGAATAAAGGATGTACGAAATCATTAGTTCTTCACAATACAGGTAGTTCTTGACCTACGACCATTCGTTAAGCGGCTGATTGAAGTTACGATGGTGCTGAACAAATGGTGGCTATGACTGGTCCTCGGAGTTCCGGCCGTCCCAGCACCCCCGTGGTCATGTGATCGCAATTTGGGCACTTGGCATCCGGTGTGCGCTTACACACTGGTTGAAGTGCCTGGCGATCACATGATCACCATTTGCAACCTTCTCTGCCAGCTTCCCCAGAAAGTCGATTGACAGGCAGGCAGAGAAGGTCGCATGTTGCTAGGGTAAGTCTCCCCTACCCATGCACCCTTCCCTAGCCCCTCTGCACTCACGCCATGCTGGCCACTCACACACACCCATGCACCCTTCCTGACCTATGCCTCTCACACACCCCCTCACACCCTCGCGCACCCTCCCTGACCCGCACCTCTCTTGCATCTTCATGCACCCACGTCGCTTCTTGCACACCCCCTCACACCCTCCATGACTCTCCCCTGCTCCCTCCCCCACCCGGCAGCAGCCACTTACCTGCCTGCTGGCCTGGGACCTGCAACTTCCTGCTGGCTTCCCCACTGAATTTAGTTCTGGAAAACTGGTAGGAAGTCGCCTCATCTAATGACGATGGGATTTGGTTAATGATGCCAACTGAGACTGCACGGATTGCCATCGCTAAGTAATGCAGTTGCACTTTATGACCGCATTGCTTAGTGACAGTAACTCCAGTCCCAATTGCCATTGCAAGTTGAGAATTACCTGTAAGCCACTATAAGCAGCAATACAAACAGTATGTTCCCCATTCCTCCCTCATGAATCAGCATGTTGCACATTCTCCAATCCAGCTATTAGAAGATTATCAGAACCTTTAGGTGCTGTTTTTTTTTTTTAATTAGCTAATATATTATTTTGCCAATTCCAGCAATTTGGAATTTAATCTCAACTACAATTTGTCTCAAAGAGGACAACTTCGAGCTGTTGCCCATGAATATTTGAAATGGAAGGTAGCCTTGGAACTGATTTTTCCATTCTGTTGCATTTTTCATCTATGCTATATAATTCTGTTCTCCCACAATGTATGAAATTGTTGGAAAAGTGAAAAGCTTGCTTGTTGTACTATGAAGTTTAGCAAACAGGAACAACAATATGGCAATGGAAAAAGTAGAAGATACAGCAGTTACTGTTATCAAAAATAAAGCTTATGACACTATGGGAAAAACACACACATTGAAATGCAGGTACAAAGCAGTATAGTATCAGAGAATTGGATTAAAATGGGTTAAAATGATGCAAAGACTGTTATATTTAAAATGAAGATATAATACGTAAGGATGGGCTTCAGAGTGAGCTGAATTTGTATGCTCTTATGGAAGATCCGCATACTTGTTTTTAAAACTATCACATCACAGGAGAATAATCTGATATAGTACACACTTCAGTGTTCTGAAGGCAGAGTTCCACATCCTGGAAAACAACATTAATCAGCAAATATTCACTGGCCATTGGCTGCAATGCCTCTCCTCAGCAAATACATTATGAGACTGGGTTGCTCTTTTCAGCCACTATCTTCTAGTGACTGTTTACTCAAGTCATGTTATTCAAGTCTGGCTGCCACAAGTTTAGTATTTTATGCTATAACACGCAAAGCAATTGGTGAAACAACTCAATGAACCATGAACCTTCATCACCATTAGTGGACACAATGGACTTCCAGGGGAGGCATGGTGAACTGAAAATGGCTCTGCAAAAGCAGAGTCAACGTGGCAAAGACCAAGTAACCAATGAGTAGACTGGTTCCTTGGAACCGCTTCGGATAAGGAGAAGACGGGAAATCACCCACGTGCGCTTTATACAGCTGTTCCTCATGAAGAGATTGCAGGACAGTTGTTTTCCATGAGTTTGAGTACCAGGAGATGATGGGATTAGCCATCTTGCTCACAACTGCAGAGACTTTTAAAGGACACTAAGTTCACAAACCTCTCTTTCTAATCACTTTTGGGAATTGCTCATTAACTACTTCTAAGTTATTAGAGACCTTTGGATTGACAAGTCTGAAAATGCCAGGTGAGTCTGCCTTCAATTCTGAATGAAAGAAAAAATTAATCATAAACTTAAGAATTTAAAGAATCTGAAATAAAGAGCAAAAAGCTAAGTAAGATGTTGATCTTAGAAAGTTATAAACAAACTAAGGGTCCAGGTAAAATTGGAATATTGAAACTTTTAGAATAAGATTTTGGAATTAATTATAAAGAACAAACAGCTTCTCATGGGAAACAGATTCTGTTTTGGTTTTTACAAGATATAATAAAGATAAGCAATTTCATGATTTCAAAAACTGGACACTAGAGGGAAGTAAAGCTTTTAGGTAAAGGAAAGATTTACAAGCCAAAACATTATTACAATAAAAATACTGAACGAGTATTTTGAA